CACACCCGCACACGTGCATTTGTGTGCAGGGTTGTCTATCTCCCGGCGTCCACGTGGCCTTCCACCCACACGCATACGAAGACACCGGCGGCATGCTTGCACGTGTCAAACAAGTCTGTAGGCCACTGTGCACATACACAGAGAGAAAGAAAGAAAGATATACATGGTCGTCTTCGTCTGTGTGTGTGTGTGTGTGTGTATGTGTGCAGGTGGCCGATGACGCTACCGCCTTGACGATAGACCGCCTGTACATTTTCCCACGGATGTGCGCCTTCATGCGCACCCACATAGCTGGCAACACACGCGAGGTGACCCATCACCCAATCACCCACACAAACAAACGCACAGATGGATGGATGGATGGATGGACGGACGGATGTGTATGCGCGTGTGTGTCTAGGTGTTGTGTCGGAGCATTGCCGACCGCTCGGTGCTCATTTCCCATGTGTCGCGTGTCGTCAACGTGCAAGAAACCGACCCATGGGGCATCCCTGACACACAAGACGTACGCACGCACACACGCTCTTGAACCGATCAACGTGTGTGTGGATGGGTGCACCAGGCGATGGACACCGATGAGGCTGCGGCCGACGAGTACTTCTGCCGATACAAGATTGACCGCCTCGCCACTCAAACCATGCACAACGGTACCTTACACCAAGACCCATACACGCACACACACACACACACACAAAATGTTCCGTTGCTCATGTGGGCATCTGTGGACGCGTGTGCAGGTCTGGTGACGTACAGCGTGTCGGTGTCGCCGCTAATCGAGTCGCCGAAGCGGCCGCTGTTCGACTACAACCTCTTCGCACAGCAGATGGACAAACGGTCGGTAACACCATGCACATGGCCCGGCCATACACCCACACAGAGTGTGTGTGTTGTCTGTGTGGATGTGCATGCGTCAGGTGTCGCTGGACGGTGGGCGATCTCTTCGCCGGTGGCGGCGCTGCCGCACTGGGCCTCTGGCAGGCCGGCATCCGCACCTCATGGGCCATCGAAAAGGTACGCAACCACCCACAAACCCCTCTCTCTCTCCACACACAAAGGAGGGTGTGTGCAGGATTCGGTGGCTCATGCGTTGTTCAAAGCCAACATGAACGAGCGATACGCACACACAGGAGGAGATGCGGACCTCTCGCCGGCCCCGCCTGCGTGTGATGTGCACGATCTCGACGTGTACGAGGTGCTCAGGGGCATTATCCATGGCAAAGGTAACACTTGAATGCACACGCGAAGAGAGAGGGAGGGGTGTGTGTATGCCCTATGTGTGTGTGTGGTGTGTGGATGGATGTGAGCAGCTGGGTGCCCCCTGCCGTATGCGACTCGCGTGTTGGTGGCCACGAGCACATCGCTCAACATGGGCAACGACGGTACACACACACACACACACACACAACGGACATGGACAGAGAGAGAGAGACATTGATGCAAGTGAATGTGTGTATGTGTGTGGGTGTGTCTGTGTGCAGCATCGCGTCTGCGCGCGCGTCAGAGTGACGTGGTGCATGCCACCCTCGCCGCGGCCAAGATCCTCCAGCCGGAATATGTGGTGCTTGGTACGTTTGTCTGCTGTATACGTGACACATCCATCCATCCATCCATGCATCCATGCATCCATGCGTCTCTTCCCGTGTGAGTGCAGAGTCCCCCCTGTGTGTGCTGTCGTCTTCCGCCGACACGGCCACACTCATGGCCTTCTACAGCCTCGCCAGCGGCTTCCTGGACGCAGGATACGCATATAATATCCAGGTGCCCACACCGTGTTTGCACACGTCGGTTTGTCCATCCATGGGTGTGCATTTGTGTGTGCATTCAGGCTGTCCGTGCGTGTGACTATGGGGTGCCCAACACCCGCACCCACCTCATGTGTGTCGCCAGACGAGCCGACGTGACTATGACATCAACGCAAGAGCTGTTTCCGAAGCCGATTGACGCACGTACGCACACACACACACACGGCAAGGACGTATCAACACACAGATGTGATGGGTGTTGTGTTGGTCTGTGTGCGGGTGGGTGGGATGGCCAGGTGTGTGTGTGCGTGAGGCCATCGGGGATCTGCCGTCGATCAGCGGGCCGCTGGCGTGTCACGAAAACGGGGGCTACAGGACCTACGCGCGGAAAGGCAAGCGCTCTCGAGACGCCAATTCATGGACTGATGAGTCTGTTTGTACGGGTGTGTGTGTGTGTGAACAGGCACGCTGTGTGTCTACCAGAAGGACATGCGCGACATCGTCAACAACCGACCACTCAGGAACCATGTAGGCGTGCATGGATTGTGTCCGCACCCACCCACACCCCCACACACACACGCATGGGACAGACGCACCTCGTTGACGTGTCATGCAGGTGTTCGTGTCATCGGATGAGCACCATCACCCGTCGCAATCGTCGCAATCGTCGCCGTCGGCGTGCGAGTGGCAGCAGATCTACACCCACACAAACGTCATCACGATGCACCCCGACCCAAAGCAGAAGAGGCCTCTCACCGTGTAAGCACCCATCCATCCACCCATCACACAGAGAGAGAGAGAGAGAGAGAGGTGGTCCCCCCCGCATGTGTGTTGTGTTGTGTGTGTGGCAGCCGTGAGTACGGTCGTCTTTGGTCGTTCCCCGACTCGTTCTTCTTCTCTGCCGGCATCACACAGCACCAGATCAACATCAGTATGCGCACTCACAAAGTGTGGTGTGCGCCGGTTATATACTCTGTGTGTGTGTGTGTGTGTGTTCAGTTGTGGCATCCACGCCTCCCCTGGTGCTCAAGCACATCGCCATGGCTCTCACTGACGGCGACGTGTATGTGCCCCCCCCCCCCCCCCCC